TTGGATTTAAATCCATAAAATAATTTGGACCATATTAAATTCAAGACATTAGTCCAAACAAATATTGTCGCTAGTAATTGGGCTAATTATTAAAAGCCAATATATGTGTTGGGCTAGTCCATTTAATTAGATTATAAATTAAATGATAAGCCTATTTCAATAGCCCAAGGTCCAAATGGCTATTTGCCCGTCTTAAAGCCCAGGCTCGTGCCACGTGTCAAGTGATGTAGCAATCCAAGTCAAAAGAACGAGCCAACAAAATCATGACATGTATCAAGTGATGTGGCAATCCAAGACAAGTAAATGAGCCTATGAAATCATGACATGTGTCGAGTAATGTAGCAATCCAAGCCAAATAAATGAGCCAATTAAATCATGCCAAATGTCTGGATAGTATTGGTCAGTTCAAATGGACCAATCAAATCGCAGAGCCATACCACTCCCTACAACTATAAATAGAGGTTTTTATAAAGCTAGAAGACACCAGAAGTGCTAACAAGAAGCAAACAGAGAGCTCGTGGATCAAACACCGCAGATTTCTCTACAAGCTACAAGTTCAAGCACTCAAACACTCAAGCTATAAGTTCAAGTTCAAGTTCAAGTTCAAGATCAAGAACGAAGCCAAATCAAATACCAAGACGTTCAAGATCAAATTACTTGTTCGTGATCAAACCCAAATTGAAGTTCAAGGAGGAGATTCAAGATCAAACTTTACAAGCCCTTGAATCAAATCAAAGTCAAGTTTATTAAGATACTTTACAATCTTGAAGAATCAAAGGAATACCATAGAGATTGTAACACTTTTATTTATTGAAATCAAATACTACATTTGTTACGCAATTTTCCAGTCTTGATTATTTATTTTTCTCGACGCGAAAATTTGTTGTTACAAATTTCTAGCACGCCCAGTGGAACAATTTCTACCTCCCATCTCTTCAAATTACCAAATTTCAAGAACACAGAAATGACTCCTAAGAAGATCAACTTCAAACTCACTTCTGCTAAGGCTACGGATTCTAAATTTTCATCTGATGTGGAAAACTTGCTGGATGCTACTATGGAAAGCGTAGGGCCTGTCACTAGGAACAAAGCAAACTTGCTGGGACAAAAAACATTTCAAATGCCATCTGCATCGGTTCCTATCTTTGATTTTCAATCCTCAAAGAGGGCAAGATCCTTTCCAACTGAATTGGAAGAAGGAGCGAACATTGCTGAAATTGTTTAGAAGACATTGGCTCTACTTAGCCCTTCTAGATCTAAGAATCTCATCGCACAGGGCGATGGTGATGTCTTGATCACTGGATCTTCTCCAAGCACTCCACATGAGTTATTCCACTCAAAGTATGGTGTAAGAGAAAATCCGTGCTTTGCTCCACCATCCATGACGGTTATCCAAGCAATGGTGACTAATACTTCAACTGTTGAAGAACAACTCGCAAATTTAACAAAGGCAATTGAAGGGTCAACGAAGCATATGCAAGATCAAGATAATCAAATTATCAAGCTGACAGATATAGTTGAAAGCATGATGGAGGGAGATTCAAGTCAAGCACCTGGAAAGCTCCCGATGATGCAAGATAAAGGAGATTCATCTGCAAGGCAGACAACGACTCCTAAAGAGTTTCAGATTTCATCTGACAGGGTTATTCCCATTAACAAATTGAAAGACTTCATTATGAGAACCATCAAATATAAGTACGATGTTGCTGCAAAGTCTTCTCTCGCATATGCAAAGCCATACACTGTGAGAATTGATAGTTTGAAGATGCCTGCAGGTTATCAACCCCCAAAGTTTCAACAATTTGATGGTAAAGGAAATCCGAAGCAACACATTGCACACTTCGTCGAAACTTCTAATAATGCTGGAACCTATGGAGATTATCTTGTCAAGCAGTTCGTCCGTTCCTTAAAAGGAAATGCTTTTGATTAGTACACTGATCTCGAGGCTGGTTTCATCGATATCTGGGAGCAACTTGAACATGAATTTCTCAATCGCTTCTATAGCACAAGGTGCATTGTAAGTATGGTTTAACTCACAAATACGCATCAATGGAAGGATGAACCAGTTGTTGATTTCATCAATCGATTGAGGAATGCGAGCCTCAATTGTAAAGACAGACTTAATGAAGCTTCTGGAATAGAAACGTGTATCCAAGGAATGCATTGGGGACTTTGCTACATCCTGCATAGTATCAAGCCTAAGTCTTTTGAAGAATTGGCTACACGTGCTCATGATATGGATCTAAGTGTGTCTTCAAGCGGAAATCAAGGGCCACATGTTTATGAACCTCGCAAAGTGAAGGATAAACAAGAAATAAAGAAAGGAGGCAGGTTTTTTCCGAAGTCTAAGAGCAAAGAATCAATGAATGTTAATGCCTCGCCATTAAAGGTCACTACAAAAGTGAGAAAGAAGCAAAGTGTGAAAACAACGTCCTTACAGGATAAAGTTGGCCGAAAGTTAACTCTGAAGGAAATGCAAGTGAAAGAATATCCATTCTTGGACTCCGATGTCCCAACAATTTTTGAAGAACTCCTTGAGTTGAAACTCATTGAGTTACCCGAAATGAAGCGGCCAGATGAAGCTGGAAATATTAATAATCCAAATTATTGCAAGTACCATCGGTTGATTGGCCACCCTATTGAAAAATGCTTTGTCTTCAAGGAGAAAGTCATGGACTTGGCCGCTGAAGGAAAAATCTTGCTTGAGGATGAGAAATACAGTTCAAATCAAGTATCTTTCATTTTTGGTTCACTTGATCCCATTTTCCTTTGCAATTTTGTCGAAGTACATGAATGTGATGGCATCCAAACTGCATCATCACCAAATATGATTAAATTTGGTGACTTTGAATCTATCAATGTGAGCAAACCATTGCTTCTCTCTATGGAATATAAACTAATAGTGGAGGAAAGATCTCAAGAGAAAGGTGAATCACATGATGATCAAACTGATGATGAAGGTTGGATTCTTGTGACTCGGCGGAGACGCTGCAAGACAAATTCACAAAGGGAGTCAAATAAGCAGTTGACTAGGGTAAAAATGGTGAAAAGAACCAAGAAGAAAATGATAAAGAAGAACTAGAAGAAAGCAAAAATGCCGGAGAATCACTATCAAAGGCTACGTCGTCCAGTAACATTGGAGGAATTCCTGCCAATCTGGTTACACCCGCGAGCTTCCTATGAATATATCAAAGCCTCATGTTGTAAGATAGATGAAGAAGAGACAACAAAGGAGGATCTATCATTGTTGCCACCTCCTTTGCCTGAAAAATTCACTGGGAAATCTGAGGAGGTGGACGTTTGTGATGCAAAAATCACATTTACTAATGATGATCTTTTTCTTGGTGAAACACGCCATAATCTCCCCTATTTATGGTTGGTTTTGTGTGAGAACAGAGAATAAGTAGAATCTTGATCGATGATGGGTCTGGAGTCAATATTCTCCTAATTCGTACTATCAAAGAGCTTGGCATACCGATTGATGAACTATGTGAGAGTCGTTTGATGATTCAAGGGTTCAATCAAGGGGGGAAAGAGCTATAGGGGCTATCAAATTGGAAATAAATATGGGAGATTTGCATTCGAGTGCATGGATGCACATGATCGATGCAAAAAACCTCATATAATATCATGTTAGGAAGCCATGGATACACGAGAATAAAGTGGTTTCATCCACCTACCATCAGTGCTTGAAATACTGCAAAGATGGGGTCGAAAAGAATATAGTTGCTGATGATAAGCCCTTTACCGAGGCTAAATCATACTTTGCCGATGCAAAATTCTATTTAAAGAATTACGTCTCAAAGGAGGTTAAGGTTGATGATGTGATATTGACCAAAAATGTTGCAAAGGAGGTTGATGCAACAACTAGCAAGGAAAATATTACAGTTGAAAAAGATCAGGTGCTTTATGATAGGAACAAGATGAATGAGGCATCTTCAAGTAAGAAAGTGACTCATGTTCTTCGCTATGTCCCAAAGGTAAGGGATGTCGAAGATCCATCTTCTGCACTACAAGGTAAGGTTTTGGGAGACTTGACCCTTCCTATCAAGCGAATTGATGCAATTAAGTCGTCTACAAAGTTGTTTAAAGGGTTTGTCAAATCATCAAGCCACAATTCGCTTCTAAATCTAACACTTCCTGCAAAGCGCACAGATGAGGGCTTTGACCCAAACGCCTACAAGCTGTTAGCAAAAGCTGGATATGATCCCAACGAACCATTCAAGTTGGGAAAGCTCCCGTCTGAAGCTTCAAACCCTACTCAAAAGATGATGATGGAGAAAGGGTACCCACTGAAGCAATCACGTGAAGGATTGGGTTACAAACAACCCTCGCCAATCCGTATCTCCATTAAAAGGGCAAGTTGTAACTACATTACTGCTAAAGAAGTGTCTACGACGCTTAATAAGAAACCTTCTGTGTTTGATCGACTTACGAAGCCAAGGACCTCAGTCTTTGATATGTTGGGACCATTGAAGAAGGAAAACAAACGTCATGGAAGTGATAGAAGGATTGGAGCACCTATCTTCGCTAAAAAGGAGATTTTGACCACAAACTGCCCAAGTCTGATTCCTTCTAGAATGAGGCGAGAGACCAAACTTGTAGTTTCATGCGAAAAGGTCCTCAAAGCAAAGGCTCATACTATAGTACACACTAGAGAACGGGAGGAAGATGAAGAAAGTGTGGGGTCATTATATCATATCACCATTCATGATGAACAAAATGCTTCATCTTATACGGAAGTCGAGGAAAAGTGCCTTGATATTCATGAATGTCATCACATATCTTTCAATGATGGTGATCCTTAAGAGGATGAAGATGCTAAATATTCACCACCTAAGCTTGAAGAAGGGGTGAAGACAATGGTTGATGCGCTAAAAGAAGTCAATCTTGGAGTAGTTGAAGATCCAAAGCCCACATATGTCAGTGCCTCTCTAACTAATGATGAAGATGACAAATATATTGAGCTACTTAAGGAGTTCAACGATGTATTTGCTTGGAGCTACAAAGAAATGCCAGGTTTAGACCCCAAGGTGGTTGTTCATCATCTTGCTATCAGACGAGGTTCTCATCCTGTGAAGCAAGCACAACGTCGCTTCAGACCTGAACTGGTTCCTTTGATTGAAACCGAAGTTAACAAGCTTATTGAGGCTGGTTTTGTTTGTAAAGTTAAATATCCTACATGGATTTCAAGCATCGTCCCTGTAAGAAAGAAGAATGGCCAAATCCGAGTTTGTGTTGACTTTAGGGACCTAAATAACGCTTGTCCTAAGGATGAATTTCCTCTTCCTATCCCAGAGCTCATGATTGATGCAATAACTGGATACGAGGCAATGTTATTCATGGATGGTTCATCTGGATATAATCAAATTCGTATGACACCGAAGGGCGAAGAACGTACTGCCTTTTGCACCCCTAAAGGTATATACTGCTACAAGGTAATGCCTTTAGGTTTGAAGAATGCTGGTGCTACATATCAACGTGACATGCAAAATATTTTTGATGACATGCTTCATCAAAACGTGGAGTGTTATGTTGACGACGTAGTGGTAAAGTCAAGGAAGACGAATGATCACTTGCAAGATTTGAGGATGGTATTTGAACGGCTTCAGAGATACCAACTCAGAATGAATCCGTTGAAGTGCGCTTTTGGAGTTACTTCTGGGAAGTTCCTCGGTTTTATTGTTCGACATCGAGGTATCGAAATTGATCAAGCTAAGGTGGATGCTATCTTGAAAATGCCCGAGCCTAAAGATATTCATGAATTAAAAAGCTTGCAGGGTAAGTTGGAATATCTTAAAAGATTTATTTCGAATCTGGCTGGAAGGTTCCAACCATTT